AGTGAGCTTGAACATACAATCTGGGTGGATACACTTGATCTTGTACCTTTCTGGATTTACACAATCTACCTTAAAATCGACTGAGTTAAGGATGTGAAACTTTTTTATGGCTCAGATACATTCTTCTCTATTACAAAATTTGACTTTCTCTTTTAAGTTTTCATCCGACTGCATATACGGATTGAAAAATAAATCAGATAACGATTCATCTCTGCCCATGTTAAAGTTTGTCATGTGTGGAGGTTGTGTGTAGATCTCGTTCGAAGGTATACCAGGTATCCCATCTTCTTCATAATAATTGTTGACCATGTCGTCAAACTCTAACTCATCTTCTTCTTCTTCTTCTTCTTCTTCTTCTTCTTCGTCAACATCATCTACTTCTGCTTATTCAGCCTCGAGAGGATAAACCACTTGTGACAGTTGAGGCTCTCGCAGCATAATGTACAACTCAATAGAGTCGTAACCAGAATACTTATGACTGGAAAACATATTCTGAAGGTCCTCGTAATCTTGAACCTCAACCCTATAAAATATTATTTGGTTGTTACCAAAAAAACTGGATTCTGATAAAATATTTGTGTCACGGGATCTCGTCCAAGTTTGGCCTCTAATTGTTTTTTGAAATACAAGAAATTAGCTTTCCTATTTAAACAAAATCTGATGTTCTCATTGTCTCTAAACAAAAACCCAGAGGTGGGACAAATGTATGTCTCACCGTTGAAATATGCACTGATCACATATTGTGGTGCAAAGGCCATTGTGTTTGAATGTTTGAAGGTTTGGAGGTTTGAGTGTTTGGAGGTTAAAGTGTTTGTGTGTTTGAGTCTTCGAGTGTTCGAGTGTTTGAGCGATTGAGTGTATAAGTGTTTTCATAAATGTAGGATTAAATAGGTTGTACTGAAATTGAATAAAATAATAGTAAGCAATCTCTAATTCTCCAACTGGGATGTCCAATCGTATTACATGCATGTAGAGATGCCTTCCCCAAGGATGCCACCTAGACTGCACCTACACTGCAACCCATGCCACCTCTAATTTGCCAACAGGGATGGCGAAACCTTTCAATTTTGTACTCATTCGCCAAGTCCAATGGTGCCTCCCTACATGTCCAATCGTATTGCATGCATGTAGAGATGCCTTCCCCAAGGCTGCCACCTAGCCTACACCTACACTGCAACCCATGCCACCTCTAATTCGCCAATAGGGATGGAGAAACCTTTCAATTTTGTACTCATTCGCCAAGTCCAATGGCACCTCCCTACACGTCCAATCGTATTACATGTACGCAAAGATGCCTTCCCCAAGGCTGCCACCTAGCCTGCACCTACACTGCAACCTATGCCACCTTTAATTCGCCAACAGGGATGGCGACACCTTTTAATTTTGTACCCATTCTCCAAGTCCAATGGCGCCTCCCTACACGTCCAATCGTATTACATGCATGCAGAGATGCCTTCCCCAAGGCTGCCACCTAGCCTGCACCTACACTGCAAGAGTGACACTTATCATGCATGCATGCACCCACCAACCACCTCACTTATTCACTTTGTGATTAAATTTTGCCTATAAATACAGAGCCTCACATACTTCTTTTGCATCCATAATCATCTCATTCTCTACTACAAACTCTTTCATAATCTTAGACAATTTCAACAATGGCTCTTCTCACAATGGGCGATTCTCATAGAGGCACAAGGGACAATATTTCAGCATTTGTAAGTTTCTTGTATACTTATAAAATTTTCATACTTCTATTAATGATTTATACATCTTATGGACTCATACACTTTTTACATTCTTAATTTAGGATACCAAAATATTTAGAATCCGGTCACACGACTACCTTGCTCCCAACTCATTGATCGTGCCCTATCTCGAATATGCAGGTTTCAGAAATTTTATAAAGATCTCCAACTGCATGATTGATTCAAAGTTCATACTTGCTATGTTGGAAAGGTGGATACCAGAGGCCCACACATTTCATCTACCAATAGGTGAATATACCGTCACACTAGATGACGTGTACATGTTATTGGGTCTCCCTGTTGAAGGTAAGGTGGTTAACAGGTCAGTTCAACAGCCCAATTCTCTGTGCGAGGAATTATTGGGCAAGGATATGATTGAAGTTGGTGGTGCAAGAAGCCAGGGTATACTACTTACTGAACTCAAAAATCATTATGTGACTCTGGAGTTGAACGAAAATTCCTCCGAGCTAGCTAAGGTAATAAAAGCTAGAAATTCTATAATGATACTTTTTGGAACCTTTTTATTTCCCAAAAGTACGGGGAATAGTGTAAATTCCATGTATTTAAATTTACTTAGAAACTTTGAAAACACTAGAAAGTATAGTTGGGGTTCTGCTGTTTTAGCCCATCTATACAGTTCCTTGTGTAAAAATGAAATCAAGGAAAATTGTACTTTTTATGGATGTGCTTTTTCACTTCAAGCCCGGGGTTGATGGAGAATGAAGTCCCTAAACCCTGCCAATAACAAAACATTCGTTTTTCCATAAGCAACAAAGTAAGTCAATGACTTATATCATTTATTATTATTCATCTCTTCATCAAATATATGATAAAAATAAAATATTTTTCAATTCCTTTAGGTACTGCGTGAGGGGTATGGATTACTGCAAGAATCCAAGATTCAATGTCGCTTTATATTGCAATCTAGTGGATCACCTTGGCCAGGATGATGTACGTCATACCTTTCAACTTTTCTACTTTTAAATTATTTATTTATTACGTTTTCATTAAGCTGATTTAATTTTATCCACAATTTATCTGGAGACCATATTTGAGTTTGGACCATGAACCAAACTCTGAGGATGCAGCAATTTGGAGCGCAAAGACTGCAATTATACGATTCAATGTTGTGGAGATGCACCACAACAACCGTGTCAAGATGCAGTTTGGAATGCATCAAGATATACCCTACGATCTAACTTGTTTATCCCCGTGACATCTCAAAAGGGTCGACGCCCAATAGGGTCTTACCAACTGAAAAGATTTTACTCTAAAATGGTATAAGACGTGGCAGAGAAGTCACTGACATGTCTTGTAATTCCCAATTTTCCTCAACCATGGTAATATGTGACACACAAATCAATATTTAGCTTGGTACAGATCAGTTAGTAACCCAGAAATACACGTGTCTCATCTAAGGTATTTTCTTGATCCACAAACACAATGGGCACAACCCTCATTTCCCCAACAAACCCAACACACATCAACCTCCCACCAACCTCCCCGACGAAACAGAACCACAAACACCCAACCACAATCACCACCACAATACAATTACACCCACATGCCCCACAACCAACCACAATCACCACCTCAATACCAATACCCCCATATGCCCCACACTCAACCACAATTTCAATCACAATAACAATACACCTGCATGCCCTACAATAATTCAAGTCTTCTACATATCCCAATATGGGCCCCTCAACATCTAACCTTAGCCTTGATCTAGGATTTTCCCGAAGATTATGACTCAACCGATCCAACTTACCATCAACCACCATATCACCAAAGCACCCAACATTCTCAATACCAAACACCCCAGGATTCATTTCCTTTCTACCCCCTTACTTAGAGGACCAGTGTTATAGACCAACTATGGAATCCCATCCATCACCAACACGTCCAAACTTTGAGGGTATGTGTAACCGACTGTACCAAAGCGGATCTTCTAGATATGGAGATCTGACCGATTTCATGGATCCAGAATGCATTGACTTCGCTGGCCCATCGACCCTACCACAACAGGAAACGCGACAAAACTCACCACGGGAAAGGCGAGGACGCGGATGCGGAACCGCGGGTCGTTACCGGGTTCCGGGGGACCACTGATTATTTTGTATTTTTTTATGTAATCGTTTTATGTAATCGTATTGTGTAAATAAAAATTCGAATTTTTCGTGATCCTATATCATTTACGTAACGTCCCGTATTTAAAATAAAAAACGCAAAAAATTGCCTCCCCATTGCACTAAGGCGCCATCTCACTTGGCTTAGGGCACACATTTAACACCTAGGCGCCAAGTGAGATGGCGTTTCCCCTTTAAAATAAGGTGTAGGCGCCAATTAAGATGTCTTCTCTTTTATGGAATTTTCTGAAACATAATTATTTACGTAATTTTTTCCAAAACATGATTATTTGCGAAATTTTAAATACCTAATTATTGTAAAAAAAAAAATCACAAATTCCTTGATTTTGAAATTACAATGTCTATGTGTTGTCAAGTATAATTTAAATATATAGGTTTTTACAATCAAGCCATATTTTAAAAACTTTTCCCAAAATTCTCATGTGAATAAATCTTTTTGCGTATCATAAATATTTTTCTTTTTAGGTTTCATTATAAAAAATTTATACCCATGTTCTTTTTTTTCTTTCTTTTCAAATATATTAGTTGCACGCCAACCAAATAACATGACAGCATTTTCTAATATTATAATATTAATTCTAAAAAAGAGTTATTTAGACATTGTATGTATGACACAATAAATACATTTTAAACTATTTTATTGTAAATATCTTTTTCCTCTAGTCAATGTTAGGGTTAGAGATGACTATTTTATACCATGTTAGTTCTACTCTGTCTAATTTCAAAATTCTTGGCAAGGAATCATAAAATAAAAAGTGTTGGATAACTTCCGTACGAATATTCTTGTTTCTTCGTGGATGTTTCGGACCAACTCGGAAGGAAACTTCAAATAAAACTTGCAGCATTCAAAACTATCTGCAATGCTATATTGTTATAGGTTCCTTAACTAAGTGGAAAATATTCAACACGCTCACGTATTTACAAACGCGTTATCCCATCAAATCTCCAATCTCTTTTCTTTCTATATTTATAGCATTACTCTTTGCTCCTTTAACCTCACAATTCATTCTTTCTATTTGCATTTCATTACAACTTGTCTTCTTGCTTTAATCTTTGTCACCTTAAAACTCTAATTCTTGAATTCATTTCTGACTCATATAGCATGGCAGATAACAAGCAACCACAATTGAACGGTGCATACTACGGCCCCGCCATTCCACCACCACCACAACCCCGTCCACACCACCAACGAAGCAGAAGCTGTTGTTGCTGTCTCTTCAGTTTCTTCTGGAAGCTCCTTGTCACACTCATCGTTCTTGCTGGTCTCGCTGTTCTTATCTTCTATCTCGTTGTCCATCCCCGCCCCTTCAAATTCTATGTAACAGAAGCCAATCTAACTGAATTCGACAACAAAAACAACACACTACACTACAACATGGTTCTCAATTTCACAGCACGTAACCCAAACAAAAAACTCAGCATCTATTACGACAAAGTTGAGGCTCTAGCATTCTACGAAGGGGAGAGGCTTACTAATAATGTTGATGTGATCACACACATGAACTCATTTCGTCAATATAAGAAGAGCAGTGACCCCATGAGCGTTGTTTTCTCAGGACAAAAACTAATGTTGCTCGGCAATGATCAAGTCTCTGAGTTCAACAAAGATAAGAGTGTTGAGGTTTATGATATCTATGTGAAACTATACTTCAGGATTAGATTCAGACTTGGAGATTTGATATCAGGTGATTATAAGCCCAAGGTTAAATGTGATCTAAAAGTCCCTTTGAATTCTAAAAACTCCAATGCATCGTTTACTTCGTTTGTGCCATCCAAGTGCCATGTTGATTTCTACTGATGTGCGCTTCTGATTGGTTTCTTGGCACATAAGTTATAATTCGGATATTTTTTCTTCTTTTTTTTGTGGGTGATATTTGTTATTTGTTTTTTCATTCTTTGGGTGTGTACATGACTATCATATGTTTCTATGAAATAAACAATTATTTTCTTTAGTTCTTTAGATTAAACTGTTTGTTATTATTAATTTAATTAATATTTCACAATGTCACCATTAATTCTAATAGTTTCCTTAAAAAAGGCGCACTCTTTTTTTTTAAAGAAGTTTACTCATCCATGCATTTTTTTTTAATTCAACTCGAGAAATCTATTTCAATATAATGATTCAACCATAGATGTTAAAGTATATTGGTGTCTGAAATGCAACAAAAGACATTTTTTGTTCAAGAGTAGAGCTGTTTCATTTAAAAAACTAAGTTGAAGTATTATAAATATCAAAACCAACTATTTCAATTTATCATGAACCGAATGAAATTAAATTATTGGATAGATACAATGATTCTGAACTCCGACCATTACGGAATCGTTAATAAATCATACAATAAGTAGATAGAACTGTGCAACTCCATCAGCTTTTCACCTCATTTTTTCTGCTCATGGAGGATTAAAGGCATAAGGAGAAACTAACAACTTCAACATTTTTCTTCCCATCGAGTTAGGGGATCTAGATGAGGTTATAATCCCATCGAAGAAAGATAAGAGAGGAAAGAAATATGGTTTTGTACGTTTCTTCAATGTTAAAGAGGATAGAATTTTGGCGAATAAACTTGATAACTTGTTTATCGGTGGTCAAAAGTTGTTTGCTAACATTCCAAGGTTCTATAGTCCTGGTTTTGCTAAGAAGATGTCGGAGGAGTTGAGGTTCAAGGGTAGAAAGAACGGAAAGAAGATCAAATCACTATGTCAAAATTGACTTTAGACAGCGCCACATAGACAACGCTTATGCCTAAAATGCTGCTATAGGTTTTCAGAAAAATTAATAATTAAAAATTAAAGGAGAAGCGCTGCTAAAGGTATACTATAGACAACGCTTATTATAAGCGCTGCTATAGGCCTTACCATAGATTTATATTCCTCAGCAAGACAAAATTTATCTTCCTCAGCAAGACAACTCATCAGCCTACATGCGCATACATCACGTTCATAAATCATGAGCATTAACAAAACACATATATTGCATCATACATTTCATGCAACATAACTTTGTGTTTCAACTAACAATTTACCTTTTTCAGCAAAAGGTCGACAACAGCTTTTTTTTAGGTCCAGATTAACACATGTAACAAAACAGGACAACTATCTACTTGACCATCATGAAACAACCCTACACCGGTTCCTCCTCAGATTCAGATGCAGTCTTACACAGACTCATCATCAGGCAACCCTACAACGGTTCCTTCTCAAATTCAGATGCAGTTTTACACGGACTCATCATAAAGCAACCCTACACCGGTTCCTTCTCAGATTCAGATGAAGTTTTACACGGACTCATCATAAAGCAACTCTACACAAGTTCCTTTTCAGGAAATTTCGAATGAAGTTCTACACGGACTGATCATTATTCAACTTCAAAACTTCTGAAAACAGTTTACAGATACACTCCAAACACGGATGTCAATCTATTGCTTATTCAGCCCCCCAGTTCAGAGATGTTCCAAACATGGATACATTTCTGATACCCGTCCACTCACCAACGACATAACAGTTCAACAAACATTCTTGGATGGCATCTTTTAAGCCCATCTCCAGTAAGACTTTTCTCACACCTCCAGATGACATCTTTAAGCCCATCTCCGACAAGATTCTGTCACATCTCCAAATGACATCTTTAAGCCCATTCCCTCAACTACGCTTTGACGAGTGCAAATTTTTTGGGCACTCTAGTGTCCAATCTCCTTTTACCTTCGAGTCGCGAACGGAAAAACTGCCAATCTAACTCTTCAGGTTCAAGAAGATTGAACAGGGGCAACTGTTGTACCCCAAAATTTGCCCTCCCTTTTTCACAAGAAATCACAGCTTCGGGGTTTTCCCTGATTTTTCAGATTGGCTCAAGAATCGGGCAGACAGATTTTTCTTTATCTGTCGAATGAAATTAGGGTTCCCATTGATTTTGGATCAGTCAAACAGATTATTAGGGTTTCTATTGATTTGGTTGAGTTTGACTCAGGGTTTGATGAAGCAGACGTTTCTTTGACAGTAAATCCAAAATTAGGGTTTGCACGCGCATTCTTAGAAGGAATTGAATCCACAGTATTTCAATTGACTGTCACATTGTTTGGACGCTTGTTCAAGATTTTTGTTTGTTTCTCAAAGCCTAAACATCTGGGATAGAAGCTGAGGCTTTTGGTTTGAAAGGGTGGAGCGTTGGTTTGATCAGTAAAGTGAAAGGTGTATGGACGTTTGTTTGTTTAACTGTACAAAGCGTGTGATTAATTGGAATGCCAGGTGTATTGCTGGTTAATGCGAGGTTGTGAGACTACAACGTTTATTAATTATTTATTTTATCTAAGTTAAAATAATTGGGATGCATTTCCAGTCATTTTAATTCAAGAGATTTAAATAAATAAATAAACAGTGTAAAAGAAAGGTTGAAATATCTGACAAAAGATTTTTATTTATTTTAATTGATGTTACAAATGTTATTTGAATACTGTAAATTTATTTACAGTGTTTACAATAATGTTTATTACAATAATTAAAAATAAAATAAATCTATCTTCTAAGTCTCTTGAAGTCTTCATACTTCTCTGATCCCCAACTAGTATTTACCTGTAAAGACAGAAAAAAGAAGTCAGTACGGTTAAATTGGAAAAGCATTTTCAGACAGATAATTAAAAACTCATCATTAAAGATTGTTGGCCGGAATCAGATTGTTTTGATTTTCATCGTATTTTGCTCATTCTCTTTGCAAATCGCAAGAAGATTTCTCTTCTTGGTTCACAAAGAGGAAAAGTAAAATTAATTGTTGCAAGCATATAAATCAATTAAAAAGAAGGCACAAGGCTGCATATAATGCAAGGGACAAGAAGGCACAAGTTGCAATGTCAAACTGAAATGGCAAACCAAGTTGCACAAGCTGCATAAGTTCAAATTGAACAAACTAAGTCACAAGTTCAGACTAAGCATACCAAGCTGTCAAGAAGCTGTCACACAAGCTGTCAAAGTACCCAAGCTATCAAACTGTCAATGCAGAAAATAAGAAAGTACAGAATGCAGAGGAAAACTAAGTTGCAAGCAAGCAATTTTTTTCATCATTTTCCAGGCCAACAACTTTTCAGAATAAAAGATATTAAGCAATAAAATATGCTTTTTTATATGGAGAGAGAAAAAGAGAGTAAAGTAAAAAGGTTTGCAGTTTGGCAGGCTTAAGGAATAGATAAATATAACATTCCTAACAGTTCAGAAGGGAGAGAACAAAGAAAGAGAGAGAGCAGTTCATAAGAGTATAGAAAGAACCACAAAACTGTAAACACAAACCAACAGGAAGCCTCAAGCCTGCCTGTACCAGAAACCTGTTTCAAAACCTGCTAAAAACCCTTAACAAGCCTGCATAACAACAGCTTTCCTGTTCCAGAAGCAAGTCTCAAACCTGCTAAAAACCCTCAACAAGCCGGCCTATACCAGAAACCTGTTTCAAAACCTGTTTCCTCCAAACCTGCCTCAAGCCTGTCAAAAACTACACAAACATATAACCTGCATAAAACCTCCAAAACAACAAAAACCTTCAGCAAGCCTGTAACCAAACAAGCAAGCCTTCAGAACCAAATACTGCAAGCTGAAGTAACATAACTTCCAGCCTGCACAACTTCAAACTTGTTAAAACCCTCAAACAAATCCAAACCAAATCAGAACAACAAAGACCAAGGTCTCAGGATTCATCACAATCAACAAGAGCAAAGCCAACATTCAGAAAATCAGAAGAAGGTACAAAAAACTCAGAAACAAGAATCTCAGAACTAAACTCATCATTGACAATCAATTAAGCCTAAGAGAGGAAGAAAGTCAGAAGCAAGCAAGAAAAAGAGGAAGATTGTAAAGTCTAACAACAATAGCTAACATTCTCAGAACAAAGTCCTCACAGAATCAACTCAAACCAACAAGACATTCAAAAAGAAGAACTTATCAAAAACAAATATCAGAACAAAAGCTCATCACAGAATCAATAAAATCAGAAGAAGAAGAGAAGATTCAGAAATGAATATTCTAGGGTTTTCAGAACAAATTCATCACTAAACATTCAAAGAGAAAGATACGAAATACCAGGAAGCAAGCAGTGTCATCACAGTTCTCTTTCGCCGAGCCTCCTGGAAGCACCACCGGCCAATCCACCTTCCTCCTCCTTCAAATCTCAGAACGAAGCACCCAGGTATATCCCTAAAAACTCCTATCGCGTATAAACAACAAAAGAAATATGGATTAAAACTCGTATATAACGAAGCACCAAGATTGAAAGAGTAATATCACAAGAAAGCTAAAACAAGCTAACAAATCGTACCGTCACGAAGCAAGAGCCCTAGACCACTCTGAAGGAATGGTGGAAGGTGGACGGAAGCGTTGCTCCGGTGGCTGAGGCAGAGAAAGAGGACGTTCAGTGGCTGTTTGAGAGAGATGAAGAGGACGAAGAGGAAACGCGTGGCGCCGTTCATGAACTGCAACCCTAGCTTCTGAGCAGAATGAACACAAACCCTAAAACGTTGTACAATGCGTTTGGGCTTTTGCTCCAAAAACCCTTAAGCCCAATTCCGAACTGGCGCTACACCCCCCTCTTGTTCTCTTTCAATTTTATTTTGGGCCAAGGGCATTCCTCAAAGTCCACTTTGTTTCTTTTTGTTTTACACATCAATACTTTTTTTTATCATTATCACTTTATTTCCTTTTTTTTAACTTAAACTAATTCTTTTGTTAAATAAAAATAATACATTAACTTTTTGTATAAAATATTCTTAATAGCTTTTTTTTTATATTCATTACATTTAAAGGTATATAAATATTAGAATTTAT